CCCCAAAACCCCAAAACCCCAAAACCCCAAAACCCCAAAACCCCAAAACCCCTTAATATATTTTAACGATTGAGGACCCAATTTGACGTCATGGTAGACATTTTATAGAGATGAATGAAATTTGAATCTTTTAGTTTTCTCAGAGCGGAGGTATTAGAAATACATGACTTGATACAAATTGGTCATGCACAAAAATAAGCTCAGCCTCAATTAGTTATCAGCGTAGAACTCAGCTTAGAAATCCTTTTCTTGGAAATCTTAAAGCGAAATCTAAACCAAAAGAAATGGATTTACCTTCTAAACTCCATCCATCAGCTTGGAGAATGCCTGGATGTCTTTGCAGGTAGCGAAGTTACAAAATACTAGGGGCGTTGTAAATCTGATTCCTCTGTGCTTGTTTAAACATAAATAAATCTCTAATTTTCATTCTGTCATAGGTGCCATTTTAGTTAAGATCATAAAATAACACTATTTCGGCATTTTGACTCTTCAGAAAGCAGCGAAGGTCTTCAGATGCACTGTATCTTTTACAATTATTTCTAAAAGAAGCATTCTGAAGCAATTCAGCACTTCGAGATTGTGAAATCCAAAATCTAATATTTCTTGTGGTACAAGAATGCAAGGGCGGAGGCGACAGATGTGCAACTTAGTGTTGTGATGAGATATGAGGTCAAAATTTAGCAGAAGACATCCTTAGTGACACCCGAAGCTGGAATAGCATTGATCCCTTTTCAGAACATTCTCTAGCAGTGTTGATTTTGTAAGTGAAATCTCTACGTCAAGTGACGCCACTGGAATACTATTTAAGAAATTAAGTTTGGATTTAATAAAAAATTTCAAAAATGGAAAAAGATAATGGATTTGACACATACTGCAAGGAAATCTTTGAGGATGGACCATTCTCAGGATACCATGCTGAGCTCCATGTCATTCATGGAAAGCAAGATGATGTTGTTGTCGCTAATGACATCGAGGGGAACGCAAAGAAGGTAGTTAACTTCTGCTCCAACAATTATACCGGTTTGGCCTCAGATAAGAGAATTGTGGCAGCAGCTAAGAAGACTTTGGATACACATGGTTACGGTCTTTCTTCTGCACCACTTATGTGTGGGTTCCAGGATATTCATCAGCAACTTGAGAGAGAGCTTTCTGAGTTCCATGGAACTGAAGACACTCTTCTCTATCCATCTGGATACCACACCAACGTTGGTTTCTTCTGTGCTTGCTTTGGAGAGGAAGATGCTATCTTCTCTGATGAGTTTAATCACTCATCAATCATCGATGGTGTTAAGCTCTCTAGAGCCAAGAAGTTTGTGTACAAGCATCTTGACTTGGACCACCTCGAGGAGCTCCTCAAGGGTGCCGAAGACTATAGATTCAAATGTATAGTAACTGAAGGTATTTTCTCAATGGACGGAGATATTTTGGAACTTCCAAAATATGTCGAACTCGCCAAGAAGTATGGAGCAGTCTTCTACTTAGACGAATGCCACGCCACTGGAGTTATTGGAAAGACTGGTAAGGGAACAGTTGAGTACTGGGGAATGGAACCATCCGATGTTGACTTGATCAGTAGCACCCTAGGAAAAGCAATTTCTGGAGGTGGTGGTGGATACACTACAGGCAAGAGGAACATGATCAATTACTTGAGACAATGCTCAAAGACTTTCATCTTCTCAAACTCCTTGTGCTCTCCAATCATCGGAGCCTCTCTTGAAGCTTTGAGAATCTTCAGAGAAGACCCAGGAATCTTCACTAGAATCAAAGAAAAGGGAATGAGATTCAGACAGGGTATCAAGGCAGCAGGATTTGAAGTATATGGAGACGATGATTGTCCAATTTGCCCAGTCTCTGTCACTGATGAACATCTTGCTAGACATTTCGAGATTGAATTATTCAAGAAGGGATACTACACAATTGGGCTTGGATTCCCAATCTTTGAGCAAGGATTATCAAGATTAAGAATTATCGTCACCGCCACACACACCATTGAGCAGATTGACGGACTCATCCAAGCATTCAAAGAGGTTGCAGAAGAATGCAATTTCTGGAAGAACCTCGAGGGATACAGACAAAAGGTCGAAGATGGACTTGTCATTGGAAAGCCAGACTGGTGGAAGCCTCTTGCAGCTAAGGCTAAGCTCTAAATTGTGATTTGTCCATAATTAGGCTTAGATTTAAATCAGTCATTATTATTTAGCCCGGGGTTTTGGGGTTTTGGGGTTTTGGGGTTTTGGGGTTTTGGGGTTTTGGGG